GGCTCTAGACATTATATAGTTGTTTAGAAAATTCCTGCTTGATTTAGCACTCCATCAAAGGTACCTACTGGCAAAATATCTGGACTCCCTATGTAACTAAAGAGGATTTACATTACCTCTCATACCACCAAATAAAACACTTAAGATTGATGAAAGAACTTTTTTATTGAAAAAATAATATTTTCCAACAAAAACACTAAAGACTTAAGAAGTATTTTTTTTTAAGAAAAATAATATTTTTTTGTCATTTTCTCTAAAAAGATTAAGTATCCCCCCAACCCCTCCAGGGCAAAATCTAGATCTTGAGACTCCATGAAATGAAATGCACAAATTTTACGTTTTTATGAACGATTTAGAAACAAGCTTCAATGATCATCCTTGACCTGGTTTTGTACAAGCTCAATGATCATCCTTGACCTGGTTTTGTACAAGCTCAATGATCATCCTTGACCTGGTTTTGTACAAGCTCAATGTACCCCTTTTTTAAACTGTTGGGCAAAATTGGCCCTTTTCATAGCAATCTTAGATTTATGATTGAAAGCTTTCTTGTATACAATACACCATCCGCAAGGAGACGGTGGAATGGTGTCTCTTGTATACAGTATACCATCCACAAGGAGACTGTGGGATGGTGACTCTTGTATACAGTATACCATCCACAAGGAGACAGTGGAATGGTGTCTCTTGTATGAATGTTGTCTCTTGTGTACAGTATAACATCCACAAGAAGACGGTGGAGTGGTGTCTCTTGTATACAGTATACCACCCACAAGGAGACGGTGGAATGGTTGCTCTTGTATACAGTATACCATCCGCAAGGAGACGGTGGAATGGTGTCTCTTGTGTACAGTATCCCATCCACAAGGAGCCGGTGGAATGTTGTCTCTTGTGTACAGTATAACATCCACAAGAAGACGGTGGAATGGGGTCTCTTGTATACAGTATACCATCCACAGGGAGACAGTGGAATGGTGTCTCTTGTTTACAGTATACGTGTCTCTTGTATACAGTATACCATCCACAAGGAGCCGGTGGAATGGTGTCTCTTGTGTACAGTATAACATCCACAAGAAGACGGTGGAATGGTGTCTCTTGTATACAGTATACCATCCACAAGAGACAGTAGAATGGTGTCTATTTTATACAGTATACCATCCACAAGGAGACAGTAGAATGGTGTCTATTGTGTAAGGTAAACCATCCACAAGGAGACAGTAGAATGGTGTCTATTTTATACAGTATACCATCCACAATGAGACAGTAGAATGGTGTCTATTGTGTAGGGTAAACCATCCACAAGGAGACAGTAGAATGGTGTCTATTGTATCCAGAATACCATCCACAAGGTAACAGTAGAATGGTGTCTATTGTATCCAGAATACCATCCACAAGGAGATGGTAGAATGGTGTCGTAGGGTAAACCATCCACAAGGAGACGGTGGGATGGTGACTCTTGTATACAGTATGCCATCCACAAGGAGACAGGAGAATGGTGTCTATTGGGTGGGGTAACCCATCCACAAGGAGACAGTAGATTGGTGTCTATTTTATCCAGTATACCATCCACAATGAGACGGTAGAATGGCGTCTCTTGTATACAGTAAACCATCCACAAGGAGCTGGTGTAATGGTGTCTATTGTATCCAGAATACCATCCACAAGGTAACAGTAGAATGGTGTATATTGTGTCGGGTAAACCATCCACAAGGAGACAGTGGAATGGTGACTCTTGTATACAGTAAACCATCCACAAGGAAACAGTAGAATGGTGTCTATTGGGTGGGGTAACCCATCCACAAGGAGATGGTGGAATGGTTTCTCTTGTGTACAAGATTGATTTTGATTTTATTCCATTTAAGAACAATAGGTTGTTTTATCATGTAATGTAATAATATCAGTATTTTATTAACTTGTGTGAATTACTCTATATTGAAGTGTGACAATCTGTAAAAATTGATATATGCTTGGATTATCAGGAAAGTTTGATTGAGAATGGTGTCTATTTTTTACAGTATACCATCCCCAAGGAGACAGTAGAATAGTGTCTATTGTGTAAGGTAAACCATCCACAAGGAAACAGTAGAAGGGTGTCTATTGTGTAGGGTAACCCATCCCCAAGGAGACGGTGGAATGGTTTCTCTTGTGTACAAGATTGATTTTGATTTTATTCCATTTAAGAACAATAGGTTGTTTTATCATGTAATGTAATAATATCAGTATTTTATTAACTTGTTTGTATTACTCTATATTGAAGTGTGACAATCTATAAAAATTGATATATGCTTGGATTATCAGGAAAGTTTGATTGGAGACATGCACAGTATTTGTATTTCTTATATTCTGTTTTACCTTAGATGATGGGACAAATTTTGACCTCATTAATTCAATTGAATTTCATATTTTTTTTAGTTCTAAAGAGAGGCAATTAATTGCAATTTCGAAAATGTGAAAAGTTCTAAGTTTTTTAAGTAAAACAGTAAGTAATTGTAAAATACAAATAAACAAAATAAAAGCAACTGATTAATGTTTCATTTTTTCCCCTTATTGAATGAAATATGTGTGTGTTCTTTTTTTGCCTTTAGATAGTCACATCTATCCATATAATTTCAATTAAAGCTAGTGTGAAATGTGTTTAACAAATGTTACGATAAATAAAATAATGTTTTGAATTAATTAGCAAAGTTTCTTTGATTTTTTTGTTGGTCTTAAAGTTCCGAACAATGTGAAACCCCCAAAAAGTCACCTCCACTTTGTTGCCTAATCATTATGTGAAATTTAAATGATTTTTGCTTGTAAACTGTGAAAGGATGGAGCCTCCTCAACTCATCAAGAACGGACAAGAGGCCCAATGGGCTTGCATTGCTGTATTAATCTCACACCTGTCACCTTAAAAGTGGACTAAAATAAAGCTTAAGGCAAAATATGAGTATCTATGACTCAAAATCACTCAAAAGAACCTGTTAAAAGATTTAAACACATTTGACCCCTGTGAACTTGAAAAGTTAAACAAGGGCATTAAGACTAACTTTATAGCTCTTCATCCCATAATGAACTTTGTTTATTGAGATGTCCTTTAACCCTTTCACCACTGTAGACCATAATGGACTCATCCAGATCAATGCATGGTAGAGTCTACTAAAGTTACATAGGGTTGAAAGGTTTATACATAATTATCCAGATGTGACCCTGAAAGTGTGTTAAAAGTCATTTACATGAACAAACTTGATAACTTTTCATCTGAGCATGCTACTGGTCACACACCACATATCACCATCCTTTGCATTTTGGTTATTCAGAATAAATAATTTAGGGGTTTTAACATATTTGACCTCTGTGACCTTGAATATGATTCAAGGTCATTCTTTTGAACAAACTTCGTAACTTTTCATCCTAAGTATGATCATCCTAGCCATGAATTTATTGAGAATTTAAAGACATCTAAAGGTTTGACTCATGTGACCTTGAATATGGGTGAAGGTCATCAATTTGAACAAACTTGGTAGCCCTTCATGTCAACGTGTAACTAGCCAAATATCATCATCTATGGCCTTTTGGTTATTCAGAAGAGAAGTTGTACAAGGTTTTTAAAGACAATTAAGACAATTAATCTTGTCACTTATTTCAACAAATTTGATAACCCTTCATGCCAGTATGCTACTGGCATAATTCATCACTCTAGCAACCATGGGGCCAGGTGAGCTACAAACCACAGCTCAGTTGGACAAGGAAACTTAATCAATCAATTGTAGTTCACTCATGTTAAGGGCCAGGGGAGCTACAAACCACAGCGCAGTCGGACAAGGATAATTAATCAATCAATTGTAGTTCACTCATGTTAAGGGCCTGGTGAGCTACAAACCACAGCGCAGTCGGACAAGGATAATTAATCAATCAATTGTAGTTCACTCATGTTAAGGGCCAGGGGAGCTACAAACCACAGCTCTGTTGGACAAGGATACTTAATCAATCAATTATAGATTACTCATGTTAAGGGCCAGGTGAGCTACAAACCACAGCTCAGTCGGACAAGGAAACTTAATCAATCAATTTTAGATAACTCATGTTAAGGGCCAGGTGAGCTACAAACCACAGCTCAGTTGGACAAGGATACTTAATCAATCAATTGTAGATTACTCATGTTAAGGGCCAGGTGAGCTACAACCCACAACTCAGTTGGACAAGAATACTTAATCAATCAATTGTAGATTACTCGTGTTAAGGGCCAGGTGAGCAACAAACCACAGCTCAGTTGGACAGTGATACTTAATCAATCAATTGTAGATTACTCATGTTAAGGATCCCTGTCCCACTGCACTGTGGTTTTTCCTATATACAGTTACCTCCCCTTATCTTCCTAAAGGGCCACTGCACTGTGGTTTTTCCTATATACAGTTACCTCCCCTTAACTTCCTTAAGGATCCCGGCCCTGTCCCATGCCACTGCACTGTGGTTTTTCCTATAAACAGTTACCTCCCCATAACTTCCTTAAGGATCCCAGCCCTGTCCCATGCCACTGCACTGTGGTTTTTCCTATATACTGTTACCTCCCCTTATCTTCCTTAAGGATCCCTGTCCCACGCCACTGCACTGCAGTTTTTCCTTTATACAGCTACCTCCCTTGAACTTCTGTTTTGTCCATGTAACTATGTGTGTGTGGCACAGGTTGGCAAGGACACTTCTGTTGACCAGGTAGCTCAAACGGTATAAGTGTTTGAATAACAAACTGAAGTACTGGGTTCCAATCCCGGTCTAGCTCCGCTGATTTTTTTTTATATTTAGAACACTATTGGTGATTATATATTTTTTATTTCATCTTTTTCATTTCTCATAAAAATCCCCAAAACGAACACCTAAGCTTTTCAACAAATAGCCTTGAAGTTGGAAAACAGGAGTAAATGTGTTAGAATTACTATCTCATCAATGCACAGAAAATGCCTTTTTTTCAAAAAAAAAAAAAAAATCCTTGAGATTTTTAGAACTTTAAGGTTTCTGTACACTACCTTTGCAGCTTCTCTTTTCTTCCTTTCTTTTTCTTTTTCCTCCCTAATTTTCTTCTCTTCCTCTTTCTTCTTTTCTCGTGCTTGGTCTCTCAGCGTTGTGTCCATCTTCTTTTCCATCCAGGCATTATAAGATGCCTTATTTTCCAAAAACTTTTCCTGCTTTTCCTGTAAATTTGACCAATACATTTAAAAATAATACAACAATTAAACCACAGGTATAAAGGCACATTGGATACCCTCATTAAAAAACAATTCTACGAATCTCATAAAATTACTTAATCATCAAAGACTGTTCTGCAAAAGCCTTGAATCTAAAGTGATAAAATGCTGGAGTTAATACATTTTTACCACTCTTTCATATGCCTCTATTGTTACCGATGTATTTCAGTATTTCAGTTTTAATTCTGTTCTTTTAGTCTAGATATATATATGTGTATACCATTCGTCATCAACACTGATTGTGAAACAAGTAAAATGTACTTATACACTGCCTTTTTGGTTTTAGTACTGCTTTAGGCCAAACATGACTGACAAAAATAGTGTAGGTCGGTCTGGATGTTCGTAATATTTTTTTAAGATAATCTTTTATGTGGGGAGGTTTGGGGATGTGGATGGTGTTTGGGGACTTATTTAACAAATTACAAAAATCATCAAACATAGTTATTCAGAACAATTGCTTTAATTTTGATAATATTTTTTAAGTCTTTTAAACAGTTATATGGAATTTAAATTTAGTTTTATACCAGTCTAAGTAATAGAGAGAGGTGTCATAAAGATGCTTACGATTTTTGTGTGCATTAAAATGGGACGAAACCTGAAACATACATATTTTTTAATGGGGCCTTACAATCCATTAAGATTACCTAGTAAAGATTTCCGAAGGTATTGTCTACTAATATTATATTTAGCCTTTTTTGATTAATAGCAACCAAAGGTACATCTGTTGATAAAAATGCTAAACAAACTCCAAAAATTAGTGGGAACCAATGTTTCAAGAAATTCAATAATGTAGACCATCTCTACTCTAGTCTGTCTGTGATAAAAACAAAAGGCCAATCATGTATTGCTAACCTCTTTCTTTTGGAAATTGAACTTTACTTGAGACCACAATAGCCATTTCGGATTTGGCCTAATGAAATTTTAGAATAAATAGAAATTGTCTCAGCCACAACTAATTAGGCCAAGCAGACATCATCTCCAAAATCAACCATTTTTGTTTACATCCCCTTATTCGAAGAAAATTGTTGTTGTCTAAATCCCTCTATCGAATCTACCACCTCTGCTCCAAAGTACAGTCTCTCCAATAATTAGAAAGACAGACAGACAGACAGCAAGACAGACACTGCACCACAACATAACCTCACCTTCCAGTCAGGTTAACTCAGTTGGCACAAAGAGGTAGAAACAGTTTGCATGCATTTAAAAAAAAAAAAATACTCTCGAACCCGTTAAGCATACTTGCCAACTCCCCCTATTTAGGAGGGAGACTCCCAATTTTGGACCCTGAAATTGAGCATTCTCAACCAGAGAATTTGCTCAACTATTTTTATTTTCTAAATTCTGATGATTTCGTCTGAAAGAGCAGCTTAAAAAGTGTTATTTTCCCTAGTGTGTACATATACACATTTTACTTATGCTCTTCATTCTGAGCACACGCAATATCCCCCATGGACATTTTAAAATGTTGGCAAGTATGATTAAAAGGGTAAAAAAACATACCTGTTGTTTCTTTTTCTCTTGTTCTTCCTCTTTCTTCTTCTTTTCAGCAAGCTGCTTTTTGGCAGACTTTAGCCTCTCATTCTTCCACTCTGCGTATATGGCATCTCGTATTGAGCGTGTGCTGTCAAGTGTACCCTCAGTGAGAGACGCGTTACTGCTGGGGGTCCCAGGGAGGGAGTGACGGGGCTTCGGTTTATGGACTTGACGTTTACTATCCTCTCTATAAATTAAAATTATCTATTTTTTAATCTGCCTTTTTCTCTCTCTAAAACAGTAGACACAACATATAACACAAATAAACAGAAATACGTGGATATCTTTAAACAACTTACTCTACTTTGAATATATATATTTAATTGTAAAATAACGGTAATTATAAAAAGTACAAATAACACTGGAAAGCAATGCAAGAAAAATTATATTATGCAACGTATATTTGAAGAGTTCCAAACATTCTCGACATAGAATTCATCAAATATAACAAAAAAAAACATTACTTTTTGCACAACTTAATTGTATCTTATGCAATAGGTAATATACAGCATCATCAACAGGTTGTGTTTTAACGATCCCCGTCCCACTGCACAGTGGTTTATCCTATACACATTAACCTCCCCTTTATTTCAGTTTGGATATAATTGTAAAAAATCGGGCCAGGACACTTCCCCAGACCAGATAGCTCAATCGGTATGAAAGATAGTTCAGTAGTCTGAAGTTCATGGTTCAATTCCAACTTTAGCCCCTCAAAGATTTTTTGTTATATATAGTAAGAACACTGATTATATTATGTTGATTATATTAAATTATTTTACAGGGCATTATTACATGTTTACCAAAAGGGGACAAACCAAAACAATTTCTAAAAAATTGGCGACCAATTTCACTACTAAATACTGTATACAAAATTGCATCTGGTGCAATAGCAGGTAGAATTAAAATGGTTTTAGACAAGTTAATAAACATTGACCAGACTGGATTTATTAGTGGGAGATACATGGGAGAAAACACTAGGCTAATTTATGACATTATGCAGTATGCAGAAGAATATGATCTTCCAGGCTTATTATTAATAATAGACTTTGAGAAAGCATTTGACTCTGTTTCATGGAATTTTATTTATGAAGTTTTACAGTTTTTCAATTTCGGACCAAGCATAAAGAAATGGATAATAACTTTTCACACTAATTCTAACTCCGCAATTAATCAGGGAGGTAACTTATCCCCCTTCTTCAAATTAAAAAGAGGATGCCGTCAGGGCGATCCGATCGCATCATATATATTTATCTTATGTGCAGAAATATTAGCCCTTATAATCAGAAATAACAAAAGCATTAAGGGAATATCATTAGATAAGGAACCCATTATTTTATCACAGTATGCAGACGATACCTCAATAATTCTAGATGGTTCAGAAAGGTCGTTGAAAGAAACAATGAACGAACTAACATTATTCGCAAACCTATCTGGATTGAAAATAAATAAGTCAAAAACACAAGTAATATGGATAGGCAATAAAAAATATAGTAAGGAAACTTTTTTACCTCAATGGAAACTACAATGGGGACATACCAAATTCACAGTGCTAGGTATAGATTTCGATGTTGATTTACACAAAATCACCAAGTTAAACTATGATAAAAAGTTTGTCAAATTAAAAAACCTGCTTAAAATATGGAATAGAAGACTCCTAAGTCCAATTGGAAGACTGACAGTAATCAAAACTTTAATAATATCTCAACTTAATCATCTATTTATTTCAATCCCAAATCCTGATGAAAACTTTATCAAAAATCTTAACACAGAACTATACAACTTTTTGTGGAATAGTAAAGTTGACAAAATAAAAAGGGATGTTGTAATTAAAGAATATATAAATGGTGGACTAAAAATGATTCATACTGACTCCTTTATCAACTCACTTAAATGTACATGGATTCGCAGGCTTTACAATGGAAGTGGCAAATGGACAAATATATTATATACGAAATTAGATAAGGATAAGTTAGGCAATTGTGGGACTGAATATATTGAACAGAGTATTAAGAACACTAATAACTTGTTTTGGAAAGATGTTTTAAAAGCGTGGCTAAAGATAATACAGGCAAACAACACAAACAGCTATGAATCCTTTCTTAAAATTCCGATTTGGTTTAGTAATGAAATAAAAATAGCACGTAAAACTATCTTTTACAAA